AAACACAGTGCCTGGGCCCCTGCCCAGACCAAGGAATCCATCTCTCTGGGTGGGCGCAGCATTTGTGCATGTGGAAGTTCCCCAGGTGGTTCTAACGGGCAGCCAGGCTGGGAATGCAGGATGGGGCGGATGTCCTTTCCACTTTAATTTATTCTGCACATTCTTCCTCCTCAATCTTCATAAACATTTGAATACCACAAATGTATAAAGAAGCCTGTGAGGAAACTAAGGGGAATAATGTTGCTTAAAAAATCTTCTATTTTAAGGTCTTAAAATGTTTTTTAAAATTAATTTTTTTAAAGGAAGATCCAGACCTACAGTGGATTTGAAAAGAAAAGCTTTTGGAAAATGCTTGGCAATTAAAAGTGACCTCAAGCTTTTCTGTGTGAGGTCTCTTTCAGGAAAATGGAGCTGTTACCCCACCTCTGGGNTAGGCAGTCAGGGGCCTGGGCTTCACCACACTCGTCCCTTACTGGCTGTGTGACCTGGGGCATCTGTGAAGGGGGCATGATACTCCCAGCCACATGGGGTTATGAGGATCCACATGAAGAGGCACAGAGTCAGTGCTCCGTGAGGGCTCCCCACGGATTGATGGGGCACATACAGCATGGGAGGGACATGGGGGTCTCAGGAAAGGTTACAGTGTTTGGCTTCTCCAGAGGCTTGTTAGGGCTGGAAGTACTGGGCATTGTAAGAGAGACAACCCCATCTCCTGGGAAAAAGAAAAGCAATGTATTTTTGAGGGAAATATTCACCCATTTTGCTATAGTACTAGAAATACCTTTTCTCTCTTCAGGAACATGCTTTCTCTCCCTACCAAAGGACGACCTGGTTCTAGCTGTGGTAGAGCCTGGAGGAAGATTCTCTTCCCTCCAGTCCCTTTGTGTCTTAGCCCCCATCACTCAGGATGCGAGGACCACTGATGTCTCAGATGCCCCATGAGCCTTGGGTGTGCAGTGACTAAATCTGGCCAGGCATGAACTCACGGGCCAGACTTATCAGGGCTCCTTGTCCTTAGCTGCTCAGAGCAAGTGAACTGCTCCACTAACCAGCCCACACCACACAGAAGCAGATAGTCGGCAACCTGTGGTGTGTGTGTCTGGGGTGTGTGTGTTGTGCATATGTATTTTGTGTTGTATGTTGTGTGTGTGTGGTGCGTGTATTGTGTGTCTGATGTGTATGTAGGTAGTGTACATGTTGTATGTATGTATTGTGTTGCATGTGTATGATATGTGTGGGGTGTGTGTGTAGGAAGTGTACGTGTTGTATGTGTTGTGTGTTACATGTGTATGGTGTGTGGTATGTGTGTGGAATGTATGTGTCTATGTGTTGTATATGTGTGTGATGTGTGTGTGGTATATGTGTGATGTGTGTGTGTATGAGTGGTGGTGTGTGTGTTTGTGTGTGATAGTGTATGGGTGTATGGTGTGTATGTTTGTGTGTATGGGTATGTGTGGTATGTATTGTGGGTGTGGGCATGTGCGTGGTGTGTGTGGGGGGGTTGTGTGTGTGTGTGGGTGTGTATGGGTATGTGTGATGTGTATATTTGTGTGTGGGGGTATGTGTGGGCATGTGTGTGGTGGTGTGTGGGTGTGTGTAGGTGTATGTGGTGTGTGTGATGTGTGTGTATGTGTGTGGTGGTGCATGTGGGTGTTTGTGGATTTATATGGTGTGTGTGATGTGTGTGTTTGTGTGTGGGGTGTGTGTCGGAATGTGTGTGGTGGTGTGAGTATGTGGTGTGTGTGTGTGTGATGTGTGTGTATGTGTGTGTGTGGGTGTATGTGGTGTGTGTGTGTGTGTGTGTGTGGTGGTGCATGTGGGTGTGGGCATGTGTGTGGGGTGTATGTTTGTGTGTGTGTATGGGTATGTGTGGTGTGAATGTTTGTGCATGTGGGAGAGGGCATGTGTGTTTGTGTGTGGGGTGTGTGTGGGTGTGTGTGGGTGTATGTGGTTTGTGTCTGATGTGTGTGTATGTGTGTGGTGGTGCATGAGGGTGTGTGTGTGTGTGTGTGTGTGGGAGGAGGTGGGCTAGGGGAGCTGTGGACGTGTGGCAAGACCAGTACTTAAGCGAGCAGTGCAGAGCAGAGCCAGCCAGTGTGCTGGACGCCGTGTGCATTTCTCCTGGGGCAAAGAAGGAGCTGGAGTCAGGATTTTATTCCCGATCTGCCACTACAGCATGGCACCTCCTCCAGTGTCCAGGCATTCTTCTCACACTCATGGGTATGGACCTGTGCTATGGGTGCTCAGGGAGGGTCACATCCAGTATTTCCCAAAGTGGGTTGTGGGATGGAATAGGANCCTCAAGCTTTTCTGTGTGAGGTCTCTTTCAGGAAAATGGAGCTGTTACCCCACCTCTGGGGCACATCCTGTCTTGGCTTCTTGGACAGCCTTGGTGAGTGTGGTGAAGTCTTTTCCAAAGGCAACATCCCATCTTGCTCTCTCCTCTAATTGCCAAATCCCTGAATTGTGCAGCAGATATTTATCATGCAGTGTCATAGTCATTTTGTTGTTCCATGTTTACTTTACCATGTCCCCAGGTAAACTCTGTGGTCCCCGAGACAGGGGCTTCATCTTACCCTTCCACAGTATTCAGTGCAATACTGGGCACACTCTGGGTGTTCAGTTAGTACTGGCTGGCTGGTTGGTTGATTATAGCTCTGGACTAGGATTTATCTACAGGGGTATGTTTCAAATACCTATGCAAAAAATCACAGGTGGGCAGTCAAGTCAACCCCCCTCAGGACTGTGTTTGATCCCTGAGAAAGGAGATGCTGGAGACTCTTCATCACCTAGGTGAACTCCCTCCAGGAAATTCGTGCCTGAAACTCACCTGCTTCACTCTTCTTTCTAAGAAACTCAGAGCCCTTTTGCCCTTGTCCACGTTGGATATAGAATGTCATTTTTTATTGATCGAACTGAGATACACTATCCTGAATATCTAGGCATCTAATAGAGATCTTCAAAATACATCAAACGAAAATTTACAAAACTGAAAGAAAAAGCAATGTATCTAAAATCACAATTGGAAATTTAAAAACCCTTCACTCAGCAATCAATAGAACAATCACTATCTAGAAAATCAGTAAGGTTATAGAATATTTGAACAATATTAATCTTCTTTCTAAGAAACTCAGAGCCCTTTTGCCCTTGTCCACGTTGCATCCCCAAGGGTCACCCAAGGACTGGGCTCTTTAGTTCTAAGGTGGCCCCAGGGAAGTCACCTGACCAGGTGGCAGCAATATAATCGAGGTCTGGAAGCAGGCTCAGCCTGCAGGGGGTTTTGTCCACCACGGATTAGGGCTTCCCTGGGACTCCTTGGAGCAGTCGCATGGGGGTGGAGGAGGCAGAACAAGTTCTGCTTCTCTGGGCCATGCTTCATTTCTGGGGAAACAACTCAGGGAGGGCGGCATCCCCTGCCAGTGCCTTACATTCAGCGGGCCAAGTGCATGTGCGTGGTCTCCTCCCATGCAACGTGCTGTGTGATAGGTAAGGAAGAGGTAATCTCCATATTAGTGATGAGGAGGCTGAGGGCTCAGACAGGTTAAGCGACTCACTCCAGGTCACGCAGCTAATAAGGGTTGGGGAAGGCAGGATTCCAGGAGTTACAGTTGAGCTGCTTAGGAGAGAGTGCCAGAGAAGGGTGGACTCTATATGAGCACAGCTGCGGCACACAGACAAGTAGGCAGTCAGGGGCCTGGGCTTCACCACACTCGTCCCTTACTGGCTGTGTGACCTGGGGCGTCTGTGAAGGGGGCATGATACTCCCAGCAACATGGGGTTACGAGGATCCACATGAAGAGGCACAGAGTCAGTGCTCCATGAGGGCTCCCCACGGATTGATGGGGCACATACAGCATGAGAGGGACATGGGGGTCTCAGGAAAGGTTACAGTGTTTGGCTTTCCAGAGGCCTTGTTAGGGCTACAAGTACTGGGCATTGTAAGAGAGACAACCCCATCTCCTGGGAAAAAGAAAAGCAATGTATTTTTGAGGGAAATATTCACCCATTTTGCTATAGTACTAGAAATACCTTTTCTCTCTTCAGGAACATGCTTTCTCTCCCTACCAAAGGACGACCTGGTTCTAGCTGCGGTAGAGCCTTGAGGAAGATTCTCTTCCCTCCAGTCCCTTTGTGTCTTAGCCCCCATCACTCAGGATGCGAGGACCACTGATGTCTCAGATGCCTCGTGAGCCTTGGGTGTGCAGTGACTAAATCTGGCCAGGCATGAACTCACGGGCCAGACTTATCAGGGCTCCTTGTCCTTAGCTGCTCAGAGCAAGTGAACTGCTCCACTAACCAGCCCACACAGAAGCAGATAGTCGGCAACCTGTGGTGTGTGTGTCTGGGGTGTGTGTGTTGTGCATATGTATTTTGTGTTGTATGTTGTGTGTGTGTGGCGTGTGTATTGTGTGTTGTGTGTAGGATGTGTATGTAGGTAGTGTACATGTTGTATGTATGTATTGTGTTGCATGTGTATGATAAGTGTGGGGTGTGTGTGTAGGAAGTGTACGTGTTGTATGTGTTGTGTGTTACATGTGTATGGTGTGTGGTATGTGTGTGGAATGTATGTGTGGTGTGTCTATGTGTGTGATGTGTGTGTGGTATATGTGTGATGTGTGTGTGTATGAGTGTGGTGGTGTGTGTGTATGTGTGTGTGATAGTGTATGGGTGTGTGTGTATGGGTATGTGTGATGTGAATGTTTGTGTGTGTGGGTGAGGGCATGTGTGTGGTGTGTGTGTGTGTATGTGGGCATGTGTGTTTGTGTGTGGGGTGTGTGTGGTGGTGTGTGGGTGTGTGCGGGTGTGTGTGGGTGTATGTGGTTTGTGTCTGATGTGTGTGTATGTGTGTGGTGGTGCATGTGTGTGTGGGAGGAGGTGGGCTAGGGGAGCTGTGGACGTGTGGCAAGACCAGTACTTAAGCGAGCAGTGCAGAGCATAACCAGCCAGTGTGCTGGACGCCGTGTGCATTTCTCCTGGGGCAAAGAAGGAGCTGGAGTCAGGATTTTATTCCCGATCTGCCACTACAGCATGGCACCTCCTCCAGCATCCAGGCATTCTTCTCACACTCATGGGTATGGACCTGTGCTATGGGTGCTCAGGGAGGGTCACATCCAGTATTTCCCAAAGTGGGTTGTGGGATGGAATAGGAAGATCCAACAGGTGTGGGAACCCTGGGTTAAACATGTCTCTCTAGGACCTCTATTCCCCATAGCACGGGTGCCCAGAACCTCGCTGAAGTGTGTTGAGGATCTGTGAGAGGAGAGAGCGGCCTGGCTCTGAACGTGGCCCGGGCTCCTGCACTGACCCTCCTGAGCATGAGAGGCGCTGAGAGATGGAAGGAGCTGTCTTTCCTTGCTGGTGCTTTGTTCTTTGGAACAGTATTTTAATCATCTTTCATTATCAAAGAGGAGAGACACCTTTTCCTGCAAGAGAGAGAAGATCCCTGCACCCCACTCCTACCCACTCCCACCCCTAAAGTCCTTGGACTTGCCAAGTGGTGGGTTCCCAGACTCCCTTTACAAGGAGTTCTCTCTCCTTCGCGTGTACAATGCTTTCTTTCCTTAAGCCTCAAGAATGTCCAGTGGGAAAACTAGGACTGTGCCTCTTCCTAGTGGGTGATGCTATGTGTCCCCCTTTCATCATCTGCCAGCAGTGCTGCTGGGAATCTCAGGGCACAAGGGCTGAAGGCTCTGCCCTGCTGGGTGGTGGTGGGCAAGCTAGTGAAGCTGATGGCCGGACCCTGGCACAGATGCCTGGATGCCTGGCAGTGTGGGCTGTCATGGATCCAACCTCACCTGGGCGATCCACAGCTTCCCAGAGAGAACCATTTGAGTAAACAGCTCAGTAGAGTGGAGAGAGCACTGAACCAGGAGTCACAGTCCTGAGTTCTAGTCCCAGCTCTTCCACTTCCTGTGTGGCCTTGGCAAGTCACATCACCTCTCTGGGCCACAGTTTTCTTGTCCGGAAAATGGGGTGAGATCTGCATTGCCTACTTCTCAGGGTGGTGTTGAGACTGTGAAAGCTAGGAGGAGGGGTGATAATAATGCTGATGAGGGTTATTACGTGATGGCGTTAGCCCCTGCCCCCAGCCCTCCTGGCAGGTGTACTCAGGTGCACACACACTCATCTTTTCAAGGGGTAAGATGGATTCTTAGATTCTAATCTGAGATGGGCCACCCGTGGACTTGTAGAAACAGCATGCAGGTTCCTTAGGCGAAGGTATGTTAAATTGAGCCTGACTGAAGGTGGAGATTGAATCAGCCATGACCTGTCAGTTTCTGCCACCACCTTGAGCCCCTGTGAGCAGTGTGATTGGTTCTGGCCTTTCTGTAGCAGGTGGCTGTCAGTCTTTCTCTGCTTTCCTGGGGGCGGAGAGGGTAGTCACTGCTCTTATTGTGCAAGTCTTCGTTTTGGCCCCCGCAGTCAAGTGGTGCCTCAAGGAAGCCTAGATCCTAACCTGGGTATCTGCTCTGCTCCAATTCCTACTGGCCAGGGCCCGCTGAACACCCTACAGAGACAGGCGTGGGCAGCTGGACTCGGGTCTGCCCAGGGTGCTGTGTTTGATCAGAACCACTTCTCGTAGTCCACTACTTGGATCTCACCTGCACAGATACTGAGGTCAAAGCAGGGTGGCCTGCCCTAAGCCATGGCTGTCTAATGGCTAAGCAGGGGCTGGAGCTTGGGATTCCAGGGTCCACCCTAGGTTCGCACTTCCCACACTCTATCCCCTAACTATGCATGGATGTAGCACCTTCGTAAATATCTCAGCACTTCATTTTTGCAGTGAAACCACCAGGTTGGGATGTCCAGGTGTTATCATCCCTATGTGAGAGATGGGGACAGCGGGCTTGGAATGAGTGGATGTTGGGTGACTTGCCCAGGTCAGTCGGTTGAGTTAGCAACGTGGCTGGCAGGATTGTCCCCTCTGTGCTTGTCTTGAGTCTGGTTTCCCAGAGTCAGGCTGTAAAAGTGGCTTCAGCGATGGAATCCATTCAGCCTTGCACAAGCTCCTCAGGCCTGGGGCCATCATCCGCATTCTGTCCACTTTCTCCCAGCCAGTGCCTTACATCCAAGCCCGAGAACGGACTCCCTTGGTCCTGCCGGGTATGTACCCACTTTTGCTCCTTCCGTCCCCTGCCCCTTCCCTGGCACACCCACGGGAGCAAAGACTGTTGTCACTCACCGGGCGAGGGCGGGTCTCCCGCAGGAAGGACTTGAGGTCTCCTCCCGCCATGAGCTCCAGCAGGATGTATCGGGGCAGGGCCTGCAGACTCACCCCGATACAGCGCACGATGTTCTGGTGGTGGAACTTGCTGCAGAGCAGAGGGGTGTAACCTAATTAACTGAGCTGAATCTGGGAAGATCTTAAGTGGGAGAAGCAGGACACAAAGTCAAGGTTTCAGCAGCCACACTATATAAATAGGAGTTCACTTTGCAAGAGAGTGTTTGGTTAGAGGTGGGAGGACCTTGCACAGGCACTTGGGAGAGAAAGTGTGTGTGTGTACGGGGGACACAGTAAAGTGTCTTTCTCAGATATTGGGGCATGGACTGGTTGCTGGAATTTGTGGCTGAGTTCTCCCAGGAAGGTCTCAGGCAGAAGTTGAAGACCTGCCAGTGACAGCATGTGAAAGAGGGCCAAGAAAAGGGGATGGCCTCACTGGTCCATGCTGTCTCCTGTGGATTCTTCATGGGAAGAGACTGGGTCAGAGCAAGAGGCCCTGAGATGCTGGTTTTCTAGTTAACATGACCCTATTAGGATACACAGGGCAGTGAAGACGGGGAGCTTCATGTGGGCACACACATGCGCACACACACACAGGTACACGTGCAGAGGTGAAAGACGGGGTGGCTGTACACCAACACATAATGGTTAGTCATCACCAAGTAGTGAGACTGAATGATTTGAGTCACCTTCCACATAATCTCATACTTGCCAGGTTTTATTCAATAATCATGAATTACATGTATAAACAAAATAAATGCTAATTTTAAAGCAAGGTATAGACCCTGCTGTGTGTCCTCCTGTGGCTTTACACCCCCAAAATGCACTGATCACATTGCCCTGGCCTCATTCCTCCTGCCGCTTCCACCAAGGGGCCTCCCCCACCTGCCGCAAGCTTCCCAGTGTAATCGGGGGCCACGATCTTGAGGATCAAACAGCTGCCTCCTTCCGAAGGGCCTCTGCTGTCAGAGCAGAGGCTCTAGGAGCCTCAGCCACTGGGGTTCCAGCTTAAATTGAGACCCCAGAGCTACAGATTAATGGGTGCAGGAGGGCTGAGACTCAGCCTGCCGATGTGGACCCAGGGTGGGGCGGCCTTCCCTCGTGTGAGGGGCGCGTCTCCTTTACACTAGATCTGTGAGCTGGGATTGGCAAAGGGTCCCGGGGAAGTAACTTGGAGGGAGATTATATCACCTGCTGTCCAAAATGAGCATGCCCTGTTTTTGTAGATCAAGTGAGGGAACAAGAGCCAGCAGATGACAGCAGGGGCATTGGCAGCAGGCGGAGTGACAACAGCTGGATTATTAGGCCACCCAGGTTTTCTTATGAGACAGTCATCAGGGGTTGTTCCGTTCTGATCAGATGTGTCAAGAATGCCTGTGGGCCTTCTGTTGGGGAGGAGGGGACATGCTGGGGACACCACCATTTCCCTTAGAGACTACTCTCTTTTAGAAATGTCTCCATGTTCTTCATGGGGGCGGGGAGGTGGGCTAGGGCCATCTCTCTGTGGCTTTACCTGATGATCAGGGCCTCCATGAGGAAATCCAGCTCGTCCTGTTCTGAGCACACCTCAGGCAGTGTCTGGGCACAGAAGGGGAGGGTGGGGAGGAGGAGGAGCCATGAGCCCAGAGCTGCAGCCCTAGAGACCGCGGGCCTGGGCAGGCTCCAGGAGGCGCACCTCTTACCTTTACAGCCACTTGCAAGGGGCTTGGGTCGCTGGGCATTCCAGACACCTGGCCTTCATACACCTCCCCAAATGCACCATGGCCCAGACCCCTGTGCAAAGGAGAAGACAAGATGAGGCAGAAAGGCGGGCCCCAGGGAAGAGGCAGCTGGGGTCATGCTTCGTGGATGCACACAACAGGCAAGGGGTGGCGTACACGCTTAGCAGTAATACCCTTGACCTGGCTTTGCTGTACAATCCCGGGCCTCCATCTCTTTATCTGAAAACTGGTAGGAAAGGTTCCAACCAGGGATTCATGGCAATGGCCAGACATTTATTCATTCAGTGAGTAGTTACTGAGTCTCTGATATTTGCCAAGGACAGAGAGGTGCATAAGACATGGTCCTTGCCTGGGGGAGGCTTGCTCTCCTTGGGGAGGGACAGATCATTAGCAGATACATGCTGTGGAGTGTTGTCAGTGAGTGACAGACAGGTGCTCTGTATGCTCAGAGGGGGGGGAAGTTGCCCCACCTGGAACAGGGAGCAGCCAGGAAGGCTTGGGGAGGGGGCACTTGAATGGATTTTGAGGAGGACCCTGGTTCGTTCCACTGAATCCTTCTCTCTTTGTATAAACTCAGTGGATATACAGGGTATCAAAATAAACAAACCCTTTACGTGGCCCTGAACTTTCAGCCTGTCCCCTTGGTAGGGCTGGAGGTGCCCCTAGGGATGGCTTGCTGGCCTCTGTGGCAAGAGCAGTCCCTGGTGCTGTTAGGACATCCACCCCCTAGACCGCAGCAGGGCACTCACCGAATGAGGGTGATGTTTTTCCGTGGCACCTCCTTCAGGTCACTGATGGACGAAGTCTTGCCGGCAAAGCAGTAGTTTGGGTTGTAGTCGGTCATGATGGTCGAGGTGCGGAGCTTGCTCAGCTTGTACTCAGGGCTCTGCAGCTCCATCTGCATGGCTTGCAGCTCCTGGTGCTTCCGGCGGTACACTGCAGACAGATGGGGGTCAGCCACAGTGGGGTCTGGGCCCGGCGGCCTGGCCCTTCACCCCAGCACAGGCCACTTCCTCCAGGAAGCCTCCCTGGGTCTCCACCACCTCCCCTGAGCTCTAAACCTTTCCATCACTCTTAGTAATACTAACAAAATGATTACAGATGTGAAAGTGTACCTCTAATGAAAACGTTACTGAAAGTAAGTGTGAGGCTTAAAATTGCATAAATGGGAAAGATTTGATTGTATCATACAGGAGCACAGTCATGTTAGTCTGAGTCCTCTGAGAAGCAGACAAGAGTAGGATTAGACATGCCAAGATTTTATTTGGGGAAATGCTTAGGAGAGAAAATGGAGAGAGAGCCAGGGAAGGCTGGGAGAACCAGCAGACCTTGTTGCAAGTCTGACCCCACTTGAAGGAGAGAGGAAGGAAGGCTGGGTGGAAGCACCCTAGAGGGCACGTGATCTGAGGAAGCTTGGGCAGGGCTCTGGGGGACTTCTGGAGTCAAAGTGGGCCATCAGAGGAGTCTCCCAGGAATTGGCCTGCTTTGATATTTCTGCTGTGCTCCAGTCCTTGGATGGGGCAGCCCTGGTGCAAACACAGCAATGGATTTGAGGGTGCAGCTGGGGTCTTGGTCGACTGTGCTTCCTATAGTTGAAGTGCCAAGCCACATAGTTGGAAAACCAGCCACACAGTGAAAAGATCCCTAAACTGGTGTCTGAGGACTTGTGCTCTAATTCCACCTCTATTACTTACAAGCCGAGGGCCATTGACCAGGTCACATGACCCCTTTGGTCTTCGGTTCACTTCTCTGTAAGCAAGGATGGTAACTCCTGCCCTGTTTCCCTAAGCCCCCCACTCCTCACCTCCCGGGGATGTCATAATGAAATGAATCCACCACCCTAAAATGGTTTTGAAAAATTCTAAAGAGCTCTCCTAATGTGAGTGATCATTGTTACCATCACTACTACATGTGAGGATGTTCTGTAAGGCAAACTGCATGGGAGGCAGAATGGAACTGCGATTCAGAGGGTGGATTCTGTGTGTAAAGCCCACTGCCCACCCCGCCCCACAACTGCTTACAGCCAGGGCAGATTAACCGCTATGAAACGTCCTCTGTGATCTGTCCTCTATGAAACATACCAGTCATAGAGTTACTTGAGGACTTGATGAACCGAAATGTGCATATCACCAGGCACGTAGTAAGTGTGCCACAAGTGTTAGCCCTTTGAAGGGTGACATCACATGGGGACACAACACCTGCTGCCATCTCCCTGTTCACCCCCAGATCTCCTTGTCTCCAATGGCGCTGGCCTACCAGTGCTGCCAGGAGCCTCTCCCTCTGCCTGTCTCCACGTCCCTGCCCATCTGTCATGGGCATCTTCCTGCCAGCAGTAAGGCCTAGCTGGACCATGCTGAACCCTCCATGACCTGCAGATCAGCTCACCTTGGCTCACAGGCTGAACAGAAACACACTCAGAAGCCAACTTTCCATTCTCTCTGCTTGGAGTGGGAGGGTCTGGGGAAGAGGCTTGAGGGTTACACAGGGAGTGAGCCAGAGGAGGACTGTGCCCACTAACGCACATGAGAGCTGAAAGTGAAGACCGGGGGCAGGGGTAAGCTTTAGCCATCGTGCCGGCCACTGAAGAGTGCCCTCCTACCCCCTTGAGCAGCCAGGAGGTCACATATGGGGTTGAAGTTCAGAATCAGAGGCTCCTCTGGGGACTGCAGCTGCTCTGGTGGATGGGGGCTGGGAGCTTCTGTTTTGGCTTGGCCTGGGCTGCCTTCTTCACCACCGCACCCAACTGCAGGGACTAGTAGGACAGAGTGACACCTTGGCATCCGTGGCACAGCCTGAGACACTATTTGGTTCTGCTAGATTTGCCTTCCTGACCCTTTGGAAGTCCCAGGGCTCTGGCACACTCACCAATCATGATGCCAGAGAAAGCCAGGACGAGGGCAGCCACCAGGGCAGAAGTGACAACGGAGAGGATCAGCGAGAGTGGCAGGTGGGGCTCCGGAGTGGGAGACACTGGAAGACAGGTCGCAGTGGGGCACTCACAACCACGTTGATTCTCCTCTGAGCTGGTCCCAAGTCACAATACCCTCCCTAGCCGGGACAAAAGCCGCCTTCTCCTTCCCCTCCCTGGAGACCTCGTCACCCCTTCCTTTCCAGGGGAACATGGCATGAAGCAGACCTATTCCGGTTTTATAGGCTTTTGACAGTAGCTTTGGGGGAGAGGGAAAATTTCACAGGAATGTGTATCAAATTCTGGATATTGGTCCAGAACATCAACCACACAACTATAGGGTGATGATGGATACAGAGGAGATTTGGGGGCCTTAGGTGACTCCACACTCAGTGTGTAGAGAGTGTCCATCAGAAACACCTTCTGAGGCTGAATGACCTCCCTGTCGCCCCAGGCACTGGGCCCAGAGCACATGGGGAAGGTACGCTGTGCCCTCTGCTGGCCAGACCACACTGAGGCATCACACTGGGACCCGACACAACATTTCAAAAGGGTCATTGACAACGGGAACACAGACAGAAGAAGGACGCTAGGGTGGGGAAGGAGATACAAAACCATGTCTTGTATGAACCTATCGAAACAAACTGGGGATATTTAATCTGGAGAAGACTTAATGGGAGGGGGACAGGGCACTGCCTCCAAATACTGCACTTGAAAGTCTGTCACAAGTAAGGGACCCTAGGAGAAGAAGTTCAAAGGAACAGGGTCCTGATGGAACCGAGTGCCTTAGGAGCATTGAGGTCCCTGTCAATGGGGGTGTTGGAGTGGAAGCTGGATGTCCCCTTGGTGGAGATGTCAGAGTGTTCCTGCCCTGGCTTAGGGATGGGACTGATGACTTTTCAGACTCCTTCAGGAGCTGTGACAGCTATGACCCACCTTTCCTACATGAGTCTGTTTGAGACTCGTCAGAGCACCCATGCTGTGGCAGGCGGGGGAGGGACAGGAAACTAACAAAACTGAATCCCGGGTGTCCTGGAACCATGGAAGCCAGCTGTGGCCATGGGCCAATGCTCAAGCCCTGGGCCCCCCTCCCCTGCCCCCGCCTCCTTACCAATGCAGGAGACACCATCCTCGGCCAGCACCATCCCATGGTCACAGAAGCAGATGACCTTGTGGCTCTCGGGATCCATGTGGCATTCATCTACCTCACAGTGACTGCAGTTTAGGTAATGCTTAATATTCACTTCCCCGTGGCCCTCCATCACTGGTGACAAGGAGGGAGGGTCAGTCTCGAGCTGAACCTGCAAAGACTGCCCTGTGCTCCCATTCCCAGCCTGTGTGCTTTATCTCCAGCTGGTCACCACGGGTTCTCTGGTCCCTGTTCCTAGGTCCCACTGTCACTGGAAATACCTGTCTATGTAGGGAAGTCTTCCAGGGCATCTGGTTAGTGGAGCTCAGACAGAGGACATGTGCCCATGAATGTTTGCATTTTTGTGTGTAGGTAGGAGAGTCCATATGCGTGACCCTTAGGCTGGCTGGTACAAAAATGCGGGCTCCTCGTGTGGCATTTTCCAGGACTGCCTGCTTGGTAGTCAGTATTCTGCCTCTATGTTCATGTTAAACCACACATCCTGACTTCCAGAGAACTTGGTGAGATGAGCCATAGGTAGACTTGCCTGCAAAGGGCCCATAATTATTGTCTTTGTATCCTGGACACATGTCAGTAACGCTGAGGTTTCAGCTTGGTGGGGGAACAGAACTAAGGAAGTTTGTTTTGCCACCTGGCACAGGGGGGTACCTTTTAAAGCTGGGGTGTACAGAATGCCCAGTGGACTGATGAAGGAAACCCCATCTTCCCCATCCATTTCAGGGTCATTGTTCGAGGCTGCATTGCCGCCTGTGGCAAACCAGAGAAGAGTTTCACACAGAGAGGTGGGTGCCAAAATCTCACTCAACGCGTGTGCGCAGCAGCGGGGCTCGCAGCTCTGGCCAAAGCCAGTGGGCATTGGGGCCTCAGGGGCGGGGAGATGGGAGGGAAGGGAGGCTCAGGGCACAGAGGCTGTTCCTGGGACTTGGCTCAGTAGATGCTGGGCATGTGGGCCACTTCCCCTCCACCACTCTGCAGGGGACCCCTGGGAAGCAATCAATGTGAGCAAGAGTCCAAAAAGTTCTAGTGTTCTCAGGCTGTGCTAGGCCCTTGTTGCCTCTTCTGGGACCGGTCAGGACAGTGGCACTGAGGAGCTGCTCTCCAGTGCCCAGGGTCAAAGTTGGGGCGGGGGGGGGAGGGGGAGATGAGCTCTGTGCCTTAAGGCTCCTGTCCCTCTTTTCATCTGGAGCTGGGGGATCTTTGGGCTCCCCCCTTGGGATCCCCCCTCAGACTCCTCCCCCACTCCCAGGGTTGGAAAGGAAGAGCATGTGGAATACACAAGCACCACACACACAATGCCAAAGCAAGACATGGACATGAACACCACGGTGCATGCATGCAGTGTGTCCTAATCTGGGGGAGGGGCGCTCGTCCCCCAGCCTCTCAGCTTCAGAAGGCTCTCTGAAAGCCGCTTGCTGGAGGGCTGGGCTGAGGCTGCCGCAGGGGCCCTCGTGAGGAGCTCCCATCCTCATGCAGAGCGGAGCCTTTCTGGCAGCTGGGGGGCTGGAGCAGGGAAGGAGATTGAGCAGTCTGTGAAACCACAAACCAATCCCTTAAGGAACTGGCTTGGCCAGGCCATCCGAAGGGAGGCACGGGGCTGGGGGAGTCTGGCCTCTGAGGTTTGCATGCCAGCACATCCTTACAAGTGGCTCCAGTGGCTCAGAGAATAGTCCTGGAAGCCAAAGCCTTTTTATCATGGGCTTTGGGGAAATCAAGAATCACAGGGGATCTTGATGCTGTCACTGAGGAAGCCTCGAGGCAGGATGCTCGCTCGCAAGCCAACACCCTACCTCTGGCTGGTCCAACTGGGCTGAGAGGGAGGCGTGCAGGGACATCATAGTCCACACTTGGGTGGGCCAGGGGAGGGGAGGAGGGACCGGGAGAGGGCTGGGAGCGAGGTGCCTAGGACTAAGCGGGGAGGGAGTGACACCTTGAACACGAATCATCTTTACCTATATATCCTCCGCCTCCTCCACCTGAGGAGCACCCCCCTCCACCCCCTCCGAAACCCCCTCTTGTCTCCCACCCCCACTTCTTCATGGCCTGGGGGCAGGAATGTCCTCCGGTAGCACCCTCCAGCAAAGATTTTCCAGCCCAGAGCAAGGAAGTGTTATCATTCCAGCCACCTCCACCACCTGCAGGAAGAGATGGGAAAATGCTCTGTGGGGATGCTGGTGAGGTTAGGGTTGCCCATGCTGGCAAAAGAAGCAGGACGTGATGCACTTTGGGGTGGCACTTCCACCAGCTCCAGTCCCAGGGGGCTGTCTTCAGTGGGGCCTGGGAGCTTCAGAGTCCACAGCTGGCAAACCAAGAGCGTGCCTTTGCCCTAGGGAGGCCTGTTGGGCCACAGCTGAGTATGTCCTGGTGAGAGTATGCCTTGTACCCTGCTTCTGGTCGGGCCCCTCTGCCTCAGTAGCAGGAGAGTGGGCTCGGTTAGGGCTGGGGAGGTGGGGGACGGGCAGCATGACAGCTAACCTCCTTCCTCTGTCCTCTGTTCTCTCCATGCCCCCAATCTCTGAGGCACCGGGCCTTTCTTTCATTAACTGCTTCCCATCCTAACAAGAACTGGGACCCACCAGTCTCTGACAACTGTCAGAACCCTGCAGAGGTCACTGCACTAAAGTTCCTGGCAGGAATCCTGGACCAGGCACCAGTGGGCTTAATTGTTTGCTGGCTGTGAAACCCTGGGCAAGGCCTTCCCCATCTGAGCCTCAGTTTCCTCACCTGTAACTTGGGGATAATAAAATCCACCTTGTGGGGTTGATGTTAGGATCAAAGGAGACAGTGAGTGCATGAAATGTCCACAAGTGCAGGGACTGTCAGGAGTTTGAGAGGCAGAGTACAGGCGTGCAGATGCTCAGGAACTGCTCCAAGGTTAGGAGCAGAGAAGGCCTGGGGACAGGGTAGGATGCCCTGGTGACAGCTACTGGAGCTGTGCTTCCAAACACCTGCAGCTGCTCTGAGCTCCTGCAATGAAAGCTTGTCTGCAGAGCTGAGAGGGAACGTGGCCACAGGTTGACTGCAAAATATCTCTCCTGCTGGCCCTTGAGATTCCAGGACATCCTGCCCCCCCATATTGTCCCATGTGATGTTTCCACAAGCATCTACTCCCAAAGACCTTAAAGCCCTTTCTGCTTCAGCAGGTGACATGTGGTGGGGACCTAGAGACCGAGGCAGCAGGAACAGAAACAGCTGTGCGTGCCTCTGCTGGAACCATAAGGGTTAACAGGCCTGGAAGGGTCTTCTGGAAGAACTTGCTTCTGAGGTTCTTCCAGACCCAGAGGGGGCAGCAGAGGGACATGTACGTGGGAGGAGCTTCGGATAGAGATAATTATCATGCTGGAAAGAGGAAGCCAGGTTTAGAAAATGAAGCCGAGGTCAGGAACAAGCTTGGATCTACAACAGGGACAGGCAGAGCCGAGTCAAGGTCCTCGGGCAGGTTGTCAGCTTTGGAAACTGCAGGATGGGGTTGTTGCACTTGGGTTTCTTCTGGCTGGCCTCCCTTCTGCTTGCCAGGTGCAGGTGGGGGGATGGGCCTGTCAAGGCTTTAATGTCACATGCAGAGGGAAGGCTCCTTCTGCTGACGGTGTGTGTGTGTGTGTGTGTGTGTGTGTGTGTGTATGTGCATGTGCCTGTCAAGGCTGTTGATGTCAAGTGCAGAGAGAAGGCTCCTCAGCATTAGGGACTAAGACTGGGTTCTAGTAGCCATGAGCCTCATGAGAGGATAATAAATAAATTAAGAAGACAAGTGCTGATACCATGCCCCGTCTTCTCATCCTGCTCAGTCTCCAGCTAAGGAAGTTCCTAACTTCCAGCCCCATCTTGCAGCGTTTAAGCAAACATGTGGAAAAGAACACAATGGACATCAAACTCAAAACAAATCAACAGACGTAATGTTTGGAAAATGGAATGAGTCCCATGTCCATCACTAAACAACTTGGCCGTGTTGGGAAAACGATTTACCAGACCGCTGTGATGCTTCTATACGGTGGGAATGATAATACCTGCCTGGGAAACTCTACAGATGGCTTTGGAAGCACAGTAGACATGGAGGTGCTTCCTAGTTTATTAGATGCTGGATGGGTGGACACTGTAAACACTGTAAACACGGTATTGCTGGAGGTGGACCCGATGACCCTTTCTGCTCTTTCTTCTATCTCTAGCCATCTCTCCATTGAAAAGAACGTTTGAGCATTTGTTTTAATTAATCTCAAATCTTAAATGTCTTCAAAGATTCTCCCTCAGTCTGATAGTTGAGAAAAGAAATATGAAAAAGAGTTTCATTTTCTCTCTTTAGAGATGGCTGGCTTCAGAGAAATCAGAGAATGCACATCTTCTTTTATGTCCATCCCCTATTTCTGTGTCACTGGCTCTCCCTAATGAGGAAAGACAGCCCAGCTGTGGAAAGTCGAGATTTTCCAGTGGGATGTTTGCAGCTGGCAGCCCAGGCCTGGAGGTCCATACCAGAAAGGCCTGGGAGGCCAAGATTTGCCCAGATTTCTTTCACTGGCTCACATGCTAACTGGGGGCCCTATGTGCGCCCAGAGGAAGGATGAACCTCAAGCAAGGCTCTAGCAGTTGCATTTTGGGGCCAGGCTGGCTGACTGAATCTTGCTTCCCATCTCATTTTCTCAGTGGCCTTCTCAAGTCCACGCCCCAGGTCTGCAGGGTAGCCTCTGAGACCCCCAGGGTGCAGCCTGCCCTTCCTCCCTTGATAGGGCACCAATATCCAGAGCTCCCAGCATGTCAGGTACTAGTGACTCAGCTGCCTTCAGGTGTGTAATGGCCTCTGGGCCAACCTGAAGGCCACGCAGACCCTGGGAGATGTTCTGGGAGAGGGTGGGGGTTGCATGCTTTACCTGCTGCTCCGGAATTGCCATTTAGCCCCAGAACCGAGGAGTTATTCTCCAGTCTCTCTGGGTGGAATGTGTCTGTCTTGGCTCCATACGCCCTGCCACCACCGCCGGCTGCAATGATCAGGGGCACGGGTACTCCATCTTTCATCTGGCCAGGGGAGACATTCCGAAATTGAGAACCCGAGCTGGGCTCCCATTCTGGAGACCCCGAGCCCTGGTTTGAATGTTTCGACCTGACTGTTTGCTGGGCAGCGGGGTGACCTCTCTATGGTCTGAGGGCTCTGAACTCATGTCACAATAACCAATCAGCCCCCGCCTTTTCCCCACCAGCTCTTAGATCAGTCAGGGTTCACAATAACCAATCAGCCCCCACCTTTTCCCCACCAGCTCTTAGATCAGTCAGGGTTCACAATAACCAATCAGCCCCCACCTTTTCCCCACCAGCTCTTAGATCAGAGTTCAATCAGAGAAGCACCACTAGGGTGTATATATATTTGCATCTATATTTGCACGTATATAGATATAGATGTAGGTATACAGATATAAAAATATATTAAACCATATATAAAAATATAAATACTATATAAAGTATATAAATACTATGTATAGATATATAAATTTATAAATAATATATAAATATCAATCTCTATCTATCTATCGACCTGTCTAAAGCTCTCTCTCTGGGCCTTGGCTTGCTCATATTTAAGTGAGGATAAGTATATCTGAAGTGTCTCTATCCTGGGGCTGTCGTGAGACTCTGATACCACGATGCACAGAAGTCACTGCCCCTGGGAACCTGGCAGAGCAGACCTCACCTTAAACACATAGGTGGCTCCACCCCCTCCTCCTCCTCCTCCTGCCCACTCATGCACGCTTCTGTTCACACGGATTTCTTCTTCTATCACATTGTTCTCTCCAACGCAGACTTTCTGGATCAATTGGTTTGTCTATAGAAATGAAAAGCACGTTAGGTTTGTGCCCAAACTAGGTTCTCCAGTTCCCAGCAGATAGGCCTTCTGTGCTTAAAGATAGGATCTATCTCTCAAATAGCTTACAGCTGAGTTGAAGAGACAAAAGATATACACAAAAAACTGTCACTCTGGGCGTATTAGGGAAGGACCACACGGATAGCTTAGACACAAAATCCATGGGAAGCTGGAAGAGGAGAGCGAGCCTTCATTGCTGCCTGGTTATCAGGAAGACTGCCTGCAGGAGGTGGCTTTTTGTTGGACCTGGAAGGAGAGAGATTTTTTGGCATAGAGAGCAGGGGACATTCCAGGAGGAGAGAGCAGCATGAGCCCAGAGGGAAGGTGAGTGGGGTGTTTGGGGATGAGCACAGGGTCTCTTAGGCTCGGAAAAGTCCATCTTAGGACAGAGAGATGGTCCAGGAGGCTCCATTAGGATCCTGTGGACTACGAAGAAGGGATGACAAAGGCCCTATGTGGTGAGATAGCGCTGGAGGGCGTGTAAATCAGGGTGGGTAGAGGTGATTAAACTGGTTAGTCGGATCATAGCTAAAGGCCTTGAGTACAGTCAAGGCAGGAGAGAGCCTTGCAGCAGAGAGCCATTGAGGCAGTGGAGAGCCACTGAGATTTTGGAGAAGGTGCAGTTCTGAAGCATCCTGGGAAGAGAAAAAAACAGTGGGAGGCCAGACTCATTTTATTCCCGGCTCATCTTTGGGAAGATCAATTCTCCATTTTGGACATCTCATTCCTCCCAGCTAATGTCCCATTTCTGGCCTCCAGAAATCCCTGGCGCAGGCCTACCTAGAGCTTTCTGTCTGCCATGTAGAATAGGGAGTGACACCTGATCGGGATTCACACACCTCCCCACCCCCCGTGTGAAATAGGAGCAAGGATACTGCAGGCCGTTATGGTGCTTGCTTAGCATGGGGCAAGTGAGGTGTCTAGTGTGTTCTCTCACACGTTAGGGACAAGCTAACATAACAAGCTGCCATGTTATAATAATAATAGTAACATGATGTGATTATTTTATTTAGCTTCACTTCTGGGCCCATATATGCTCCTGGTGGGGGCTCAGGCATCTGGGAGTTCCCAGGATGGTGCTGGAAATGTCTGTAACACAGCATCCTGGAATCCCTGAATAGAGGGAGTGGTGCTGCAGGAACAGGCACACCTGCTTGTGGGCCACCACAGCCCCGGCGAGTTCTCCAAACATCAGCCTGGCCTCGAAGGAAAAATGGCTTTTCTTCTGCTTCATAGAAAAAAATCCAATAAGACATCAAATTCCCATCAAATGCTGCTATGTAACCAGCCAGTGGACTCGGCAGTTCATCCTGACCCACTCCTTATGCTAAAGCACTCAGGGGTGCTGGCAATGAGTACTAGAGAAATTTCCAGATAAACAGCTGAGATGCAGTTTGTTTTGTGGCATTTTGGACTTAATGATGGAAATAATTTGAGTATATTTAGTGTGGGTGGCAGACTGTGAATTGCTATTGTAGAGAGCTGACATTCTTGTGTGTAGTATGTGCAGCGCTGTCCACGGCTGGGTGGCGACCGCTGGAAAGAAACCCTGCTAAAAGCTGCCTGGATGGGCACAAGCTGGAAAGGGAATTCCCTGAGGCTGGGCTGGGCTGGGGGCAGAGGGAGGGGATGTGGGCTGTCAGGTGCGCAGAGCACAGGATGCGGGGTCCAGTCTGGGTTCTTGACCACTCTGCCAGAGATTTGGGGGAATATGTCGGGTGAAGCACCTCACCTCCCTGGACTTGCCTCCTCATCTGCAAATCCAGGGGCTGGACCAGCATGCTAAGGAGGTCCACCACCTCAGACTCTGCTCGCTTTCCTCCTTTCTGGCTGGCAGCAGTGGGACCTTAACCCTGTGGGGATGCCCTCTTCCTTCCCATTAATAGAATCTGGAGATTGCTGGGTCAGGGAGGAGACAGTAGTGGGACTTGTGGATGGACTTCTGTGTGACTAGAACCCAGACCCATGCCCATCCCTCACTGCCCTGCTCCGGGGCGTCTCCTTTAAATCGGGTGGGGGTGGGGAATGGGCGGTTCTCAGTCTGCATCTTGCTGGACCCGCAGCAGCTGGCAGAGTTGATACACATTCTTCACCTGTCTTCCGGGACTCCTTGCCCGCTTGAGCCACCTCTTACCTTCCTGGCTCCTCCTCTCCAGCCCCCTTTGCTGGTTCCTCTTCTTTTCCTTGACCCCTAACTGTCAGGGTCCCCAAGGCTTGGTCCTTGGTCCTCTTCTCTGTCTGTACCTCACCCCAGGCAATCTCATCATGTCTCCCCTTTATGCTGATTATTTTATATCTCCACCCTGGACCTCTCTCCTGAAGTCCAGTGGTATGTCTCCCATTGTCTACCTGACGTCCCCACTTGGCTGCCTGCCAGACCTCTACAACCCAGTATGTCTGGCATTGAACTCCCGATCTCGCCCCCAGATCTGCTCCTTCCCCAGCGTTCTCCAACTCAGCTGATGACAACTCCGTCCCTCAGTGGCTCAGGCACAGTTTTTGGAGTACTTCTTAACTCTTTTCTTTTTCTCAGTTCCTCATGTAATCTGGCAGGAAATACTTTTGGATTCTATGTTCAAAATATGCTTGGAATTCAACCACTTTTCACATATTAACTTCCTGGTCTAAGTCACCATTATGTCTTGCCTGGGTTAACACACTAGCCCTTGAGTTCACTGCCCTGACTCTTCCCTTGTGCACATGGGGTCTATTCTCCACACTGAAGCCAGAACAAGCCTTTCAATACACATATCACATTATGCCACCCTTTGGCTCAAAACACTCCCATAGCCTAAACATGTCCTTACGATGGTCTGATCCAGTCCTGTTACCTCTGACCTCATCTCTCACCTGCTCTTCCTTTGCTCCCTGCACGTGGTCCTGGCTGTTCCTTGAGCACCCAGGCACACTCCCAGCTCAGGGACTTGGCCTTTGCCAGGGTCACTCTTTCTCCAGATATTTTTCCTCTCCCTTGAATGTAAGCTCCTCGAGAGCAAAGATCTTTCTTTTGTTTAATGCTATATCCCAAGTTCCTAGGACAGTGACTGGCACATGGTAGGTAGTCAATAAATATTTGTTGAATAAATTTGAGTGAATTGAGAGCTATCTGGGTTGTGGGCTGGCCTTCACAATATTTGCCTTGCCAGTGACATTAGTGGTGAGATTTAACATTTTGATCAGTGATTTTGCACCTTAGGGGATGCATGGAAATGTCTGGAGGCATTTTTGATTGCCATTACTGGAGGATGCTACAGGCACCAAGTGAGTGGAGAACAGGGACGCTGCTAAACATCCTGCAATGCACAGGGCAGCACTCCTCCCCCCAATGACAAAGAATTACCTGCTGCAAAATGCCAATAGTGCCACTGTTAGAAACCCTGATTTAGACACGCCACCAGGAGAGGTTAGGAAGGAACTGGAGAAGCAGAGACTGCAGGGTGTGCGTGTGTGTGTTTTCAGTGGTTCAGGGGTGGCCAGGCACATAAGGAGAGCAACTCCCCACAGATGTGCAGTTGAACAAGCAAAGCCACCAAATCCTGCAGTTTAATTTTTAGAGTCCACCTCATTCTACTGAGGATCATCTCTAGACACCATTTTCCTGCTTAGGGAGAACTGGAGATGGAGGTAGTGCCTGAAAATGGTCTTTCTTTTCCCCCTTCCAAGTGAGTCCTCAGGGGCCATGTGGAGCCACGGGATGACCAGTTCCTCTCCCACATGCCCATGCGATGCCCGGCCCCACCAGCAGAGGGGGCTGCCCTCTGACCCTGGCTGAGAATCGCCGCCTGCCCACTTGGGAACTCTCCCTGAACATCCACAAAATGTAGAGCAAATAGGTCAATTAATAAAAATGATAAAGTGCAGCAACCCAGAGGAACACATAGAATACAATTGAATTAAAAAAAAAAAGACGCAGTCCTGTGAAAAGACATAAATGATTATAAGGCAATCAAGTAAAAGTCCCTTACAGAAGTCAATGCAATCTTTCTGCTTAGATGAAAGAATTACATTAGCACTCAATAAATTCCTGTGAAAATTCCAACAGCCTGTAATTTAATGACTTAATATATTATACCAGGTTGGAAAGTCCTGATTGTAGTTGCTAAGTAAAAGTCGGAGTAGAGACATTCCTCACACAAAAGGTTGTGCCTGCTAAGCCTACTCCTGTTGCTTTGACTTAACCCCGCTAGGGTGGGAGGAGAAGGCTGAGCTTAACTCTTGCTTCCTCCTTGGCTCAGCTCCCAGCCCAGGGCCTGACTCTTACGAGCCCTGAGTTTATTTTGTGCAACTGAACTGCTTTCTCAGTAGCCCTGTTCCCACATCTGTCCTCCAAGGTTGCTCTTGAATAAGTTTCTGGAGGAGTCCCAGGTTCTGGGCACTACAACACAGCTTCCTGCCCCAGCCCCTGGCCCAGGCAAAAGCTGTGCTTCAGGTGAGGGTGGGGACCGGCCCCACCAGGAGACCTGGCCTGCAGGGTGCTGCATTCCTGCCAGGACAGCCGGCACTGCCAGGGTCCTTCCTCCCTGCAACACTGGCAAGAGGCAAACACCTGGGGTGCTGGGAATTTGCATGGTTGCTGCTTAATTAGTCTTCAATGTCTCTTTCTCCTGGTAATTTTAGACCCCCCCCCCTGGGTTTTTCAACTCCTGCTTTTGGAGTTCTCCCTTTTTGACAGCTGGAATCAGAGACAGAATGACAGGCTGTTTCTGTGGCTACAGAGGCTTGTTCAGTGGTGAGCTATAAGTGGAAATGGGAAAAAGGCCATGGAAACTGAGGGCCAAGCAAGTGCGGGGCAGAGCAAAGACAGGAGCCGAGAGTCTCTGTTCCGTGCCACGTTGCCAGTAACTTTGGACAAGTCCCTTCTACTCTGTGGCCTCCATTTTCCTCATCTGTGAAATGGGGAAGTAGACTATATGGTTTTCCAGCTCTGAGTTTATACTTTAACATTTTTAAAACTTTTAATCACACCAATGATAAATAATATATGAACACATTATTTTTGTAATAATTTCAGACATTACTGATAAAGCACCCTCAATTCCAGTCCCCTCCCCAGAAGCAACCACTGTTATCTACATCTTTCAGAACTTTTCCTGTGCATTTATGTACATATATATGGGGCTATGAATCTGTGATTTTGAGCTGAAAAAGAAATGTTTAATCCAATGTTTTTCTGTTTATGATAATATGGCTAAAGATAACAGTGCCCTAGCAAGAAAGTTCAGGAAATAGGCTCCAACTCATACTTCTGCTGAGAAGAATAACCACCCACCCGTTCAAATAGGATTGAGTCCTTCAGCTTTAATGATCACTCGTGAAACCCATACCTCAGCCGTGGTCCCCGTGAGCATGTGAAACTCCAGTGGCCACCTGCTTTCTCATGCACCCAAATGGCCCTGGAAAAGGAGGGGCATTTGCAGGCAGAGCAAGGGGCGATTCCTGCTGTCTTTGAACGTGAGCTCCTGGCAGGAGCGTGCCGGGTGTGGGTCCTGGCTGAGTGTGGAAGACAAACCCTGGCTCCAGGCACTTACGCTGGGGCAGGCGTCCTCCCCCTGCTGCCCGACCAGGATGTACAGCGTGTCGTCCTTCTCCAGGTTGAAGATGCCCAGCACAGACACGCCGTGGGACCGCATCATGGTATTCTTCCCACCTTTCCCGCCCGCGGCTCCATAGCCCGAGATGCTGCAACAGGACAAAGCACATTGGCTCCTGCCACCGTGTGAAGACTGACCCCCTTCCTGCCACCCCAGCAGCTTCTGGGGCCAAGCACGTCGCCGTCATGGTCTGAGCATTCTCGCCCCATCAGCCTCGTGAGGCCAACAGGGAGGATTCCTCTCCTCACTTTCAGGAGAAGACAGTCAGGTTTAGAGAGGGACAGGGAGCCGCCTCAGTCGCAGAGTAGGAAGGTGAGGGACTAGTGACGGGTGCAAGAGAGAAGGGAGAGAGGGAGATGGATACATAGATGGAGTCTGTGTCATTGTGGGGTGTTGGGGTGATGGTTTCCTGAACACCTAGGATTTCCCCATTATGGATTTCTGTCCCCTTCTAAGATCAAAGGACTCGTGTGACCTTAGACAAGTGACTTAACCTTCCTGTTCCACATCTGTACAATGGGGATAATAAGAGAACCCACCTCCTAATCTGTATGTTTTATGAAGATTAAAGGAACTAAGACAAGTAGTCTCAGAATTGTGGTTGGCAGATAACAAGCACTCAGTAAGTATTTACTGTTATTATTATTATCATTATTGATGGTGTTAGTAGCAGTAATGGACTTGGTACAAAGTTTTAAAGTCTCCCACGGGGCCTAGAATCAAGAAGTTTCCACATGGAATGACCGAGGAGAGCAGAGTTTACGAGCACAGGCTGCTTCCTGCCATCCCAGCAGTGAGTCCTTCTGGAGCACTAGTGTGCAGACATCAAACAGCCAAACACGATGAAAATAAAAACAGAGCGTGGGGACGTGGGGTTATTTCTGTTGCCTCTTCGGTTGTTGAAATGAAGTCAAGCGAGGATGGGAGAAAGAAAGAACTCAATTTGTGAGCAGTATCAGAAGAGTGACGTGTCTTGATGACAGCTAGCATCCCAGCAACAAATGCCTCCGCAGGGACCAGCTGCCTGGGAAAGGGATTTGGGAGGATTTTCACGTCCCTGTGTATTCACATCCAAGGCCCTTTATGCAAAACTAGGAATGCAAGCCAGTTTTGCCCACATACACACACAGTGGCTTCTCCACTTATGTTCTAGGATGTCCCACCTTCTGAGAGTGTGGGGCTTCCCGGGGGCTGTCTTAAGGCGGAGAGCTCAGGGCCTTCCTGCAGTGATGAGCCTGGGGGCTGGCTGTGTGCTAATGGGGGGTGGAGGGAGGGAGGCCAGGCACTGAATGGAACGCAATCGGAGAGTCTCTTGCCTGTTGTCCTGGAGGATGCTCAGGCACTGACTGGAGCTTATTGAATGTCATGAACAGCGTGAGGCTGTGTGGATAGGAGGAGACCTGAGATGGGCTCCTGGTCCTCAAAGGGCTTACCAAGAAACTGGGGAGACAGCCATCAGGGAGGCTGTATGGAGGAGGCAGGGTAGAGGGGCACTGGGGTTCCCGATCGGAGTGCACCGTTCCCACCTGTGTCCCTTCTCAGAGCCCCAGCTTCTTCCCAAATAGAAGAAGAATCATATCTTCTTTCCAAACTCACATGGTAGTTCAACAAAAGGAGATCCTAAGGTGAAAAGCCCCGAGGAAGGGACAAATCTCTGCCCAAAGTAAATGTCAGGTGCTCAGGGCCAGGAGGGAGGGAGACTGTGGCAGAGGTTGGGGCCTCGGCTGGGGGAGGGGGTGGGGGCGGAGGGCTGAAGTCGGTGGAGCTGATGGGTGGGAGGAGCAGACAGAGCTGGAGGGAAGGGCTCAGGGCTTGTGTGAAGGGAAGTGGCCAGGCAGGGAGCCTGTGGCAGCTCTGACCACGGAAGGTGGCGGGAGTGGGGAGCCTGAGCTTTGGTTTGTTTGGAGAGGGAAGGAGGGGCCAATCTTGAGCACCTCCAGTGTGCCAGGTATGCTGCGTGCTGACGTGCTCAAGGCACCCCCCAGTTGCCACGGACAGTCCATGTCATTAACCTCATTTGACAGACGAGGAAACAGAGGCTCAGAGGGGTTAAGTAACTCATGAGAGGCCACATAGCTGGTTGGTGGCAAGCCCACTTTTCCCCTCTGGAGCCCAGTTCTTCTCCAATATGTCACTGGGAAGCTGATATGGACATGCAAAGAGAG